AAGGTTACTTAATCTTTGACGAAAGTTCATGTTGTCAGAGAGTCCAGAGATCAGTGATGGAACATACGAAATGGGGCTCGGCATATTTAGATAATATGCATCCATCAATGTTATCGGTCGATTGGTAGATACAATGACAAACGGTAGATCTAGTTTTTGTGACATGAGAATGGTACATGGAGAGCCGTTGTTGGTAAGTATAACATCAAACCCTTTTTTTTGTAAGCGTTCAAATAATTCCTTGTTTTCGAGTAGTAACATACAATCTTCTACTAATATGTTAACCATTATCATATGGTCCATAGGATCAAACTCCCCTTTTAGAAAATTTGTATACATCTTGTCCAGCTTTCCAATCGCATCTTTGTCCACAGCACTGGTATAATTTTCAAAGTGGAAACTGTCTGCGATGTGATTTATCTTGCTCAGAGAGTTGTGGTTTTTCCCTAACAGCAATGTAACATGGTGGCCTTGGTTCTTCAAATGGTCGCCAATTTTTGCGAGGTATAGAAAATGACTTCCAATGGAGATTCCTGGGAGAATCAGGACTTTGTGGCAAGACGTACTCACTAATAACACACACATGAGTGCAAGTAGTAAAAGCTTGCTGCTCATCGTCTGGGATCGTGCCATAATTCAAGAGGTATGAAGTACATGTACGTGATGACCGCAGTTATAAAGGCATTGTACACTGTTATAATATCATGAACAAACAAACTTGTCATTGACTACTGAACCTTTGATCAGCGCACAAACTGTAAACAAATGTCCCACTGCCCGCCCAAAGGTCATGGTGTTAAGCTAAAACATAAATCCTGTACATCGACAGGTGCAGCCAACGAGCAATAAATTGAACTAGTCAATTCTTAGGGACAACATTTATTTTGAAGTATGCTAACTAATATAAAAGAGAGAGGGGAAATTAAAAGCTGTTAAAAGTTACCCTCCACCTGAAAAAATTGTCTTCCCCTCCCGCTGACCAATTTCATCTTTCCCCTGCCCTCAATAAAAAAACACTTTTTTGCCTACTCCCCTACCGCCAACTTGCCTTTCTTGCCCCTCTGCTGACCAAATTCATCATTCGCTGCCGAACTGTAACATCAACTTCGTACATTCATAGTGATGACAACTGTTATGAACTCTATTCCTCACTTACACTGGTTGCAGTACACTGTCTGTGAATATCCCGAGTGAATATTCACAGTGTCAGAACTTACATTGCTGTGCCGATTGGTGGCGTAATTCATCGAGTCATTGTCTTCTATGTGCTTCTTGAATACAATAACCCCTCAGCAGATCAGTGGGTGACTCGCATTTTCAGTTATTGGTAGCACACGGCTGCCCACATTTAGCAGATATTATTTCCCCAATTTTTTTTATTATATCCTGCCCTAAAGGCCGTTTTGCCCACCCTGCGATATTTTTTTATATAAGTACCCTACCCACTAAAAAAGTTTCTCTGTCCTTGCATTTTTTTTAGAAATCTGCCCTGCCCACTGGGGGGGGGGTACATATATATATACTGAAAAAATCAACCGCCCTCAACAAAAATCCCTTGGAACATTATTTTTCGTACATCCAAACGCAATGTATTATGGGATTCTAACTTTTGTTAACTCGGCGATAGTCGCCACGATGACAAATTCGATGTTTTTTGTATTCTCGCGGTACGGACGAGGGAGTACGATATTTCAGTAGAAAACTATCACCGTGATCCAGGGTATTTGTATTTACTCTGGTATTACCTATAATTTCAACAGAAAACAGGTTTTTGAGGACACAGTTATTAAATTTTCATTATTTTGAATATATTTTAGTGGAACAACGCATCATCTGCCACCCATTGTTCAATAGTTTACTGTATTCGAGTTTACATTTCTTGACACAGCTCAAGGTGAGGTACATTGTACTGGTAAGCAGTGTTTCACTGTATATTTAATACTGTGCATAGTATATACTGCGGTCATCGCGTACCACGTACTGTATACCTCTTGAATTATGGCACACTCCCAAACAACGAGCCACGAGTTTTTACTACTAGCACTCATGTGTGTGCTATTAGGAAATCTGTTGTGCCACAAAGTCTTTATTTTTTCGGAGCCTCGGTGGATGTTACAATGCTATCATCTTTCTAAACAAGATACCTTTTGTAGATGGTTTCAGCTTTCAAATTGAGAAATATACCAGTGCTGTGGAGAAAAATGCGATGTACAAGATGGACAAGTTGTATACAAAGCTAAAAGGGAAGTTTAATCCTTATGATATTGAATAACTTATTATTAGAAGATTCTCTATTACTGCTCAAAAACAAGGAATTATTTCAACGATTACCAAAAAAAGAGTTTGATGTCATACTTATCGATCACTTTACTCCATGTACCATTTTTACAAAAACTAGTCTACCGTTTGTCATTGTATCCACCAATCGACCGATAACAATGAAGGATGCATATTATCTCAATATGCCGTGCCCCATTTCATATGTCCCATCAATGATGTCTGGGCTCTCTGACAACAAGAAAATTTGTCAAAGATTATTATTTAATGTATATGTTTCTGTTTTTAGCTCCTCATGACAAATTAAATTTGTCATCTTTCATTCTTCATTTCAGTTATAAGAAGATTACCGAGAAGATATCAGCTATACACGAAGACAAACCCGGGGTTTACTTGAAGTTAAATAGCCAAGTATGGCAATGGGCAGTTAGAATATACCATTTATTAATATTCCTTTGGCTCTCCCAAATAAAAGCCAACTTCCTTATGACTTACGTGCCATGCCCTATTTAAGGTAGAGATGAAGGTTCGTTGGCACTAGGGAGTGATTTTTTTTGCTTTTTATTATCCAAGCAGTCTTGGCTATAGACTGTTAAAATTTTGTAGAATTGTGAATAGTGGAACATACTCAAAAAACGATTTTAAATATATATAACAGGTACAAACATTCTCTCTTTTGAATGATTAACAAGATTTAGCAAGGCTGTACATATATAATAAAAAAGAAACATGGTGAAAAAAAGAAATGACGGGATTTCCATATTGTGTACTATATTTTACTTTTAACAAAACGATAATACATTTAAATTTTGAACTGTTACAGCCATTTTAATTATGAGCATTAGCAAACTTCTTACTGAGTGAATTGTTATGCAAATTAGCAATTATCTCAGCTTCTTTTTAGTGCACATTCCAGAACTTTAAAAAAAATAGCTCCTAGACGCTTTAACCTTTTGTTTTGAAATTGTCACAAATGATTGACAATGTGTTTATCTTCAAAACGCCGTCGGGGCATTGTTTTTGGTTGAACAGTGTTACAATAATCGTACAGACAACTTGCCTGAGTGTTAATTTATGTATAAACTTGAAGTAATGAAATTTGAGCTACTGTCCTGCAAAATTGGTAGATAGTTTTCAAGACGGCACTTTCTTCATAGTAAACAGATGTACCCGTAAACCAATTTTGACAGGAAACCGAAGCATGGTTTAGAAGCTAATTTTTTTTAAATCAGTTTTGACCAAAAAAGCACATTTTTGTGCATATTTCAAACTACAGTGTCCATAAAAAAATACTAAAAAATGTAAAAATTCATACAATAAGCTTTCCGAAAATATATAGTTTTGTGGACAAGGACTACTGAAATATAAAAATACTGAATACTTGATCGAATTCGTCCTGAAAGTACGTACAAAATGGAACTTGTGGGCTCGCAATTCAAATATCCTTCTCTCTCATTAATAATTGTTTCTTCACAGCGACTGTTTCTTACTCAGGAATAATTATGCCAAGTCCATTACCATGCAAAAGAGCAATTTACAATGTCGGGTGAAGAAAATCCGACTAACTACGATTACATTTTGGCACGCTAGTGTTAAAACACTTATACATGTATACTGTGTAAGATATGTATATAGTTATGCACCTTTATATATAGTTTCAATCCTACTAAGTTCGTAACGTAATTTTAAACCAGTTTGGGCGTTCATTACTGAGTCAATGAATTCAATGAAAATAATCTCCCAGCTAATGAATGCATCGTTCTATATTATAAATCAAGTATAGTGTAAAGGAATAACCATCAGAACAGAAAATAAAACTACGAGATCCCGTGTTATGAAAGAAACAAAGGTCATTGCGCCATAGTGGCATCAAAACATCGCATGAGATTGTACAATTGCGAAGGTGATTTTCAAGTCTTTTCACGCCTAAAGATGTGATAAAGTAAGGATATCTAACACCATATCACGAAAAAATGCTTGTAAATGCTTGCAAAGTTATCAAGAACAAACACATAATAAATATATATATAATAGAATTTAATAAATAACACGCACAATATATATATTTACTGAACATACAGGGCATATGACAGGTACGTAAATATGTTCTGTTCTGAGTGTTGCGTCATTGTTAGATTTCTTCCTCAGTTAGAGCTTTTTTAACATCATTGAGTTTGCTACCGAAGCATAAGTGGCGTATAATTGCCAGCTGCTTTGTATCCATGTTGTCGCATACGACTTGTTTACCACTTCCGTGTCACTGAGAATGTTCTAGAACCGTACTGTGTCTGGGTGGAATTTTTAGAAACTGTTTGAATAGGTAATAGAACACTGTAGGAGGCAATAAAAGGTAATGGAACATTCTAGAAATTTGTAGTAAGTTCCAGATTCATTATGTATGCTGATGTAATGGTCTATTTATAGACAGTGTGGGTATATATAGGGGAGTTGTGAGATCAGATCGGAGATCTCGTTGAATTGTATTGGAGTTTAAGTATCTAGTTATTGGAGTAGTGGAGTTTTACCGCGTTATTGTACTTGATGTTTGCAGAGTATAATAATACCAGTACCAGTTGAAACCTCATCTGTTGGCTCAGTGTTCGTATTTTATCATCGCCGCCAGGGAAGTCTTTTTGTTACTGTTGCCATTTTGGTATTTGAACCATCACACCTGTAC